ACCTAGTACTGTTGCGTGGGTTAAGTTTTCTATTTTGTTGAATACAATCTAAACACTGCTTACTTTTTGATATTCTTTTTAATATTCTTTAATATACCATTAGCAATATACTGACCAAATATTAGGGAAAATCTTGTACTTTAACTTGAGATATAAATTAAACTGTAATGTATTCAGTACTTTTGCGTGTCACTGTATGTAAGATATGATAAAAATAGATAACTTTCACGGGCTAACTATTCAAATGCTCCTTCATTCGTTGTCCCTCGTTTTGGGCTGATCTGTGTTGTTAATCCTTACATGCTTATGAAATCCTTGTGGAGCGTTCATCAGTTCTCGAGCCAAGTTCTGTTAACGCAAGATCAATAAGTGTAGAATTAATGAATGGAGAATAATGGGTGCTATTTAAACAAGTCTATTTTGGATGAACATCTGAATTGCCACTGGACATAAATCCTTGAGTTTAATTGGAAGCTACAAATATTTTTATGGTTAATTCAGTCCAATCAATCAATTTCTTAAATTAATTATGTTCGCTGACTGCTTCGTATTCTAGAGATTGTTTTGTTAGATTTTTAATACACTGCGCCGTTTACACACGCAAGAGCGTCATGTTATTTAAGCTGGACTTTGGCGCTCTTCCTGGCGCTGATCCAGGCGTGGCAGGTGCCCGGGCACTGGCTGTGCGATGGCATGGCCTGCCCCAGCAACTACCCCGTCTACGCGCAGCAGCGCTCCGGCCTGGACATCTACGCCTCGGGCAACTGCTTCACGCACAACAAGCGCCAGTACGGCGCAAAAAGACCGGCGTGTACGGTCATGCGCATGCGGGAAGTGTGTGTGCACGTCATCACAGGGGACGGTTTGTTTTACATACCTTCACTAATCATGGACAAACGATCGTGAGAAGAAAACGTTCTTTTTTGACCAGCTTTACGGTTTCGTTTCAATCTCGAGAAACATATGGTGCACCTGATGGCCCCCTCTTCACCCAAATATCCCTTGCCCGAAATGGGCGCGCACATGTTGATTATAATTGAAATCTTTGCTAAAGAGATTTTGCGCTTTTCATTTCGATGCCAACTACTCTAATTAAAATAATGGAAATAAAAAAAACGCTCTCGCTCGATTACAATATTTTAGTACCAGACCAGGTAATTTAGAATAAATGATGATTTTTGCTATGCTCGTATTCCGGCGACGCTGTGTTAGCCATCTGGGTAAGTATATGCGGTCCAATTACCTTGCATTGACAGGCTAAACTGTCGTGTTAACAAACGTCTGCACAACCCATCATCAGCCGTAAATTTCTCATAAATTATTCAACACGAACAGAGAAGAACCTTAACCTTAATAGAAAATTTTATCCCTTAATAACATGCAATTATAATGATGCATTCATTCGCATTATTTAGTGTGAAGCATTTCACATCAATTATTCTTGCAAGAAATGCGAATGGCGAACACGAATTCTCTGAATCACATAAGTTTTGGTTGTAACTCAGTCGCAACATTGTTTTTACTCGAATGACTGCACTCACTTAGTATCCGTGAATTAAGATGGAATTGTGATTAAAAGTTCATACTTATCTTTAGTACATGAAATAATTGGCACCGACTGGATCAAAGTCTCCATACTTTACAACGCATTAAAGTTGCTGAAATTATTTTATTCATCATTAATTCACATGAATAATTATTAGGCGCAAAACAAACGAAAAATATTTGATTACGGACGAATAATTTTTAGTTTAGTTTTAACAAATGTGAAACAGATAATCTGTAGGAACTTATCTGTTGACATGTATACACCTTCTAACAGATTGCATTTGCATTTTGCATTTGTTAAATTCTAAATTAGGAATGATATAAATAATACAATAATAGAAACATGGTGGTCATTATTTAACGACAGCTTCCTCTGTTGGTGAACCTGAAGGTTTATCGGAAACGTAGATTTTTGAACAACACAAATTTCAAATGCATTTATAGAAGCGTTGCTTTGTAACCAAGAACTTTTCGGCTTGTGATTGAAAATTTTAAAATGCATATTGTACTTTATCGCATTGCCTCACTGTTGGAAAAATATCTCACTTATAAATAATCGCCAAACAAAGTTGTCGAGTTTTACTTGCCAACCTCATTTTAAGATATGAACTGGTATTTTTTGCAAAAATCCTGAGTAAAAATTAGCTGCCACTTATGAGTAAGAAAAAATCGCAAACGATGAGAATTGATCAATGAAACCATCACTATTCCTAGATTACGGTGGATGGAGCTGTTCCAAAATATTTACTGCAAAAAGGCCGAATTAGCTCTTGAACAACTGTTTCCTAATTTGTACTGAACTGAAATGACTATTGAATATACCTCTGTTCACACCATTTTCTTCTAAGATTAATTAAGTGTGGTGGGTGAATTAAATTTTTAGTTGCGATGTTTTTCCGCTCTCTGTTAACCGCCAAAATTTTTGTCTAGGTAGAAAAAATTATTGTTGCACCATAAATTCAGGTTTTAAGTTTAAGCCAGATCATTTCAACTCCGATTTGCTCTAAAAATGTATAGTACTCGATCATGAGAAAAATTTATAGTACATTATTAAAATATTAGTACCCGGTCCCAGCACATCGCGTGCCAAAACCTCATTAATGACATTAGTTGGAATTAAAGTGCTCTATTTTACTGTTGCTCTCTGTGGGATCTGGAACTTTATTTCATGTTACTGATGTTTTTGCGCTCGGTTAATGAACAGCAATTGAGGAATGATTTAGATTTCGGTCATGATTGACAGGAAAATCAACCATTTCTGCTACGATAGAAATTTCTAGAAAGTGAAAAAACAACGGATTGCTCAATTATGAATGATACTTCAGTAATTCGAACTACAAACCGAGTCATATGCTATTGTGGTGCCACCTGCAATTTCTACTTGATCGATGGATATTCATTCGTTCCTCCAACTACTTTGACCTTCTGAATAATCTCCTGTAGACAAAAAAAAAGTTTTCAAACATGACTGACTGGCAAGCTACATTTATTTTTTGACATAAATTGTATTTCTTCGTCAAATTGAATTCGACAAAAAATCCCTATGATAACGTTAACTTTTTTATTGCTCGACCTCGCTACCCAATTCAAGTGCAAACAAAGCAATACAAAATTTCAGCTCAGCCTGCATTCAGCCTGCGAATGAATAAAATTCTTATCATTCATAAGATAGTTTTCGTTGGAAGAGGATTATCATTTGGATTTGAGTCGCTCATTATTTAATTACGGCCGGCCACTGTTCCCAACATTTCTTGCAATTGTGTGGGCAACTTTCCTCAATTCTTCATATCCAAATTTGAAAGTCAAGCCTCTGGTATGGTTCAGACAGTACACCAGTCAGACTCTTACGACTGTCAACGACGCCACATCTTCACATTGTCGTCCGTTTCAACTTCACCATGGAGTGAGACTTCCAGCGTGCGTCTCGTCTGGGGTGGCGGCCTTGAAGTGTGAGACGTTGTGGGGGCGAAGGCTCGTCTCCTCACGGAGGACGGGTCTCGAAGAGAGCTCAGGAGAGGACTGGATGTTGCAGGTTGTTAGTCCGTCACTAAAGCTCAGAGTGTTATGGCAATTTTTTGTCTGGCCAGTTTCCATTAGGGGTAACTGTCTTCACTTCACAACTCTCAACCTAAATATTAATACCCTCTTGATCATTAGTTAACCAATTTATTATTGTCTCTTATTTTAAGAGCTCATCTGCTCGGTCCGTAAATTTAAGCGTTTGAAGATATTCTGGACCTTAATACGCAGCTTGTTCTAATATTCTGTTATATAAATTGGTAGCATTTCATTCAAATCAGTTGCTAGTTACTTGACTGGATTGACAGCACGGAACAAAGCTATAAGGCGTCAGTTTTCCTAGCCACCTGGCCAGGTGAAGCTCTTGCTCCCGATGCAGAGGACTTCCATCACGCAGCAGCTCGTGCTAATTCACTTTCTTCAAGTTTTATTTTGTTCACATAACACAATTCATACGTAATAAATTCTGTATCTTTTAAATATTTTATTAACACTATTACTTCAATGAAATTTAATCTTTCCTTCCACTGAAAAGAGAGGTAGCGCTAAAGTTTTGTACATGGCAATACAAAATTGAAGCTCCTGGCACAAAAGAATTCAGGCATTCCAATGATTATTTATAAGGGTTTTTCTGAATAAGATGGTTATTTATCAAAATATGACTTAATGATTGAAGGCTGTTATAATATGTGAATATAATCCATATATTATTCGTTAACGCCGCGCAGATGCTAATCACATATCGTAAGTACTCTGATCAAAAGACCGAGCTATATCTCAAAAAGCCATCAATAATGAGCATACAATGGAATGCGTTGCGCCGTTTACAGCAAACGGGTTGAAAGGGAATTGATATTAAATAAAATCTGCTATCGATATCATTGATATATAAAGCAATTGGTTACTCCCTTCAAACAGTTTCTTTTGGAAGTATTTGAGGCTGATTTGGGCTGGGCAGAAAACCGGACCTACCGATTATTTTGATTTAGTGGGAAATAAATTAAATGTGTATTTTTGGTGGTCGCTGTGTTGGCCGACAATCAATCGTCGATGTCACACAAAGTATCTTCTACTGAGCAATGACGGGCCAAGGTAAGGCAACAGATGACCTTAACTTTATTATTATGCCAGATTCTTGATTTCTTTTCAAGAAACTTAAATATTTTCAAAGAGAACCATGAGTTTCTTCTGTGAATGCTTTTCCAAATAACTTTTGAAGGTGACTACAAAGTTCAAAGTGCACGAGACCTCGATTGGTCAAAAGCGTGGAAGTCTTTGTTCAGTTTTTACGTCTAATCAATGGTTCGGGTCGAAGCGATCACTACCTTCGTTGACCGTACATCAAGTGACCCATGAACTTTAGCGCTATTACTCGATGTGTGATTTTTACTTGTTAGTTGCGGCGGCTGTCAGTCTTGACTTGTTTGCGCTGGTGTACGCGTGACAGAGAAACGTTCAGCTCTGGTGAGTTGCGTGCATGCGAGATATTTACATTCATGCTGCATATGGGATGCAAAAAATTCACACCATAAAACTTGATGAGTTACACAATTTCCCGCTGATACACGTCCTCTGATGCGGTAACCTTATGAAGGTAAATCTTGTAGGTGCATCAAATGTACATTTATTTAATTCAAAACTTTCAATACGTTTCAAAAGTAAATTTATCGATATTTTTGTAATGGTTCAATGTAGTATCGATATTCATTAATAAACCTTGAGTCATCTTGTGAAATCATCAATATTTAATAAATCACAATATTCATTGCATATCAAACAATTATAACGTGAAAAAGTACATAAATTATAATCTAAAAGTAATGAGTATTTTAAATATCTCATATAAATTAATCCAAATCCGTGATACTCACTGAGAAAAAAACCACCAAACAATATTACGATGACAAATAATAAAAAAACATCTTGTAAACATTTATTCTTACTAATCTGAAATTATTTTCTTACTTATTTTATATATAAAATCAAAAAGTTCCTCAAAAAATTCCTTCTCTAGAAGCATGTGTACAATCAATGCTGACACTCAACCATCAGCCGATAAATTTAACCACTCAGTTCCTGACAACGATTTCTTTGACAATTCGCTCTGTGCGATATATTCAAACAAAGGAAGTCGTTCTCTTATTATTTTTACAGGGGATACAACTTCTTTGTCTCTTAAGTAACTAGGTGCACATGAATTTTATGATGTCGTGATAAATTCTTTACTGCATTCAGATTTAACTGGTCCAAGCTAACCAAGCTGCCCGTTTCGACAATATTTCTTACGTATTCACGCATTGGAGTAAATAGCTAAAACAATGTTATTTAAAAAACTACCTGAAAAAAAAACATCAGGGCGGGTTAGTACAGTATTACGGGTATACGGGGTGTCTGTACTTCATGGTTGGCGGGTGATGAAGTCAATTTCAACTTTTTGTTATCGAAGTCAATTCTTGGCAATTATCGTGGAAAACTCTTCACCCAACATAATTTCATACCATCTGAATAGAGCCGCAATCAATATCATTTCTCACAATCTGTACTGCAAATTTAAATCGCGAATCCGTTTTTTCCAGTCAACTTCCTTGAACCAGCCGTGGTGAATTGGGCTATCTTAATAACATATTCCATGAAAAATTCTATTTCGTAACATTTAATACTTCTGAAATTCAAACCCCAGGAAAAGCTTCCGAATCCATCTCTATTACAGTACCGGAAATGACTATACGACTACCCAGTTTTCTCGAAATATTTTTTCTTGCACAAAAAATATGGGATTTAAGACCAAGATATTTTTTCTCCATTTTGGTATATTTCCGTAATATTTTCACTTTTAAAAGGTACAGCAATATGCAGAATAGCTTGATTTTCGTCATTTATGGCCTTTCTGGTGTAGTTCTGTGTCCTCACTTATATTTTTTTAAGTAAAAAATATGCCAAATGGGACAAGACTCACTGAGGCGGAGAAGGAGCAGAATTTCGCCTTCTTGAAATGCAGTAGAAGCCAACGGGACATCGCACTGGGAATAAAACGCTCAAAGCCCATTGCACAATTATTTTTTGCTAATCTGAACGGCTACGAGTGAAAGAAGCACACTGGACCAACCCCAAAATTAACCGACAGGGATCTTAGGAGGCTTCTAAAATTTGCGCTCCCTCTACCTCTATAAAATTGGCTACTGGAGTTGATATAGCAGCACGACGCATCCGTTAGATATTGCATGACTCGAAGAAATTCAAATACATGAAGAGGAAAAATGCCCCTGTGCTCCAACAAAAGCATATTATCAACCGACAAAAATTTGCTGAAAAAATTTGCTTATTGGTAAGGGATGGCACAAGATTATCTTCAGTGATGTAAAAAGTTCAATCTTTATGATCCAGATAGATGGCAATGCTATTGGCACCACTGGACCGTCAGCCTGAATTTTTTTCAAGCGGCAATCTTGTAGTGGTTGAGTCATGGTTTGGAGAGCGTTTAGCCGAAAGGGAAAATTAACTCTAGCTATTTTACATGGGAGACAATATTCCGTGGCTTACAGGCACACGCTGTTTTACCAACTTCTCCCTTTTGCCGATGAGAAACATGAGGGAGCATATATTTTTCAACATGACAAAGCTTCAATTCACAATCTCAAAATCAGCAAACACGTGGTTCCTAGAGCAAAATATTACTCTGTTGCCGTGGCCGGCGCTTAGTCTTGACCTCAACCCCATTGAAAACTTATGGGGCATCATGGCGAGGGATATTTACCAAATGAGCGCCAGTTCCAATCTGTGCATGAGTGACCTGAGCACGGTTATCCTTCGTTCTTGAGATAATATTTCTCAAAAGACACTGGATTATATGGTAAATAGCGTGGGGAGAAGATGCATTGAGGTAATTATGGCGAAAGGAGGTGAGATTGCCTATGAAAACGAGTGTATGTGATCAACAAACGGAAAAACATATCTTGGTCTTATAACCATTTCCACCTAGGTTTTTCTAATTTTCATCAATTCTACACATATACTGTATTTGAGAAAATTTTTTTTTTCGCATAGCGTTGGAACCGTTTTTAAACGTAGTTTAACCTCGTGTAATTAGAATATTATATTTTTTGTGCAAGTAAAAATGTTTGGAGAAAACTGGGTGGTCGTATAGCCATTTCCAGCACTGTATAAATAGAAAAACTTTAGAGTCAAAATAATGGTCTCAGATAACTACAAATAATAATAGATTATAACGAAAATATTGTACAAATGATAGTGAAGTTCTTATTCTACGATATATTTTACAGTACCTGTTGAGAGCGATGATAGTAGAATCAGTACGCCATATATTAAATTAAACCATGACCAGAGCCTTAACTCTCATATTAAAACGCCGAGATGACCAGCTCACAACTTTGGGATGGACAACTCACAAATATTCTCCTCTGTTGGTAGTTCTAACCCCGTTATTCTTAAAATGAAAATGCCCATCGTACATAAATCATAATGTAAGGGTACAACAAACATATATGGAGCCTTGATAAGCTTTGGTTCTTCTGCACATTTTACACTTCACATTTTACACTTCACATTTTACACATCACATTTCACACTTCACATTTTACACTTCACATTTTTTACTTCACATTTTACACATCACATTTTACACTCCACGTTTTACACTTCACACTTTACACTTCGCATTGTACACTTCACATTTTACACTTCACATTGTGCACTTCACATTTTACACTTAACATTGTATACTTCACATTGTCTACTTCACATTTTACACGTCACATTTTACATTTTACATAGATGGTATTTACACTTTACATTTACATATATGTAATATATATTATTAACACTTGGCATTTTACACTTCACATTTCACACTTCACAATGTACACTTCACAGTTTACACTTTACATGTTACACTTCACATTTTACACTTTACATTTTATACTTCACATTGTACACTTCAAATTTTACCCTTCACATTTTACACTTCACATTTTACGTTTTACACTTTACATTTTATAATTCACATTTTACATTCCACATTTTACACTTCACATTTTAAACTTCACATTTTATACTATGATCAATTTTAGTAGTATTTATTAATTATTTCCAATGGATGTGGCTCCAGATGTAAACACATTATTCCCAAGCTTACCCTTGAGCACGTACGAAACCGTTATAAAATATCTGACAAATGAGATCACAGGAAATTATAACAGATTGGCTTAACATAAAATTAATCCATAAAATATAATCAATATATGAAAATATTTAGTCAGTTGGTTATATAAGTTAGTAACGATCAAAGCTTGGTTCGCGCCCTATAAGATACGCGACAGAACAGTTGGCAATGAGGGGATTTAAGTAAATAGAAAACTAAAACACGAGTTTGCGAAAATTTTTACAATCCTAATTCACGAATTCCTAGAATCATTGAATGAGAGAACGCTATAAACGCATTAAAAAATTTACCGAAAAATAGGGTGAAAATCAAGCCATTTGATTCCGAATATGAAGAAGAAAAGATAATATTAAATTAATATAAAATTGTAGACAGTAGAGAACTATTTGAGATTATTTTGCTTGTGAATGTTCAACATGACATAACTTCTCTTTGTTTCTGTGTTGTGAAGGTATATGTTAAAAAATATACATGCATATATACACAAAATCTACGTTTCCTGATCTACATAAACTAATCAACAAAGGAAACAACCCAAAAATGAATTAAATTGTACTGATAGCCAGCGGACTACCAACTTTTTATTTATTGAAGGATAGGATTACAAAAGTCGCGATATTTGAAGTATATTCAATTTCTGCCTAATTTTAGGAATAAGTTCAGTGTGCTGATTTTAGTAATTTTTCAATTGTAATTTACTGCATTATCAGCTCTCTGTACGCACGATCATCATGCTGCTATTCCGGACGTTGGCGCTCTTCCTGGCGCTGATCCAGGCGTGGCAGGTGCCCGGGCACTGGCTGTGCGATGGCATGGCCTGCCCCAGCAACTACTCCGTCTACGCGCAGCAGCGCTCCGGCCTGGACATCTACGCCTCGGGCAACTGCTTCACGCACATCAAGCGCCAGTCCGGCGTAAAAAGATCGGCATGCATGAACATGTGCATGCGGGTGGGATGTGTGCACGCCATCACAGGGAACGGTTAGTTCATCGTTAAACGCACGTAGGAAAACCCTTTCTCTTTTCTCTAATCCCGACATTTGTATATTTAAATTAAGTCGGCAATTTCATAGCTGATTTTTCACGTGAGTCTTGTCACGATACTCAGATGGGTGCGTGTTGCTGGGTTCGGGTGTGTTGCCCCCCTACAACACGGGGCTGTACCGTCAGCTGGCAGGTGGCCAGGGCCTGCTGGTCGAGGTTGCCAGAGGGAAGCCTGTGACTGCGTCGTCAGTGGCCATTTCTACAGGGGCTTTCAATTGGTGGGTTACACTACTAATGCAAAAACTTGTCAAGCAGCCATTAATTCAATTCATCTTGAAATTGTGGAAAATGAATTCTCACATAATTATGTTCCAACTTCTGATTTTGGATCTGCACCTTTGTGATTCTCCAGAATAGCAGTAATTGCATAATGCACTCTTACTTGATGTACAAATCGAAAATACAATTCCTCCGTGATGCATTATTTACTTACTTGATAAGCTGGCCGGTGCCCCTTGATGTTTGCAGGGAACCAGAAAACGCCAATGACGGCATCTCCAACAACGTGTTGCACTTCTTCCACTCCGGCTCTGACATGTACCCGTACCTCTTGATTGACCTCCTGAAGCCCTACGCCGTGGTGAGCGTGTCGCTGCTGCCGCGCATCGAGATTGGAGATGGTGTGACACTCATCCAACGAGCACACAACATTACCGTGAGTGTGACTTCAAAAGTGAGTGCAACTATAGAAGTGATTGCAACTATAAAGTGAATGCGACTTCACAGTGAGTATTATTTCACAATGAATGCAACAGCACCGTAAATGCCACCTAGCTAGGACAACATTGCTTAGCCTAGTCCAGCACAACATTACGGTGGAGAGCCCAAGCATTGTCAGTAAGCTAGTAATTCATTTTATGTTGTAAAAATCAAGTGCAAGCACAATCATACGCTGTGAATATGCTTATTGCATTCATTACTCGGATAAAAGTTGAACATCAGTTGAATATCAACGTAAACAGCCGACTGATTCCGTATATTCTCTTGTTCCCGGACAGCTGTACGTGGGCAACACGGAGGTCACTGATGGCGTCTTCGCAGGCGTTTACGAGCAGTTCGCCTTCATCGCAGAGCCCGTGCTGGACCAGGCCACCAACATACCGGACTGGAATCACATAACCCCAACCACTCCGCTGTGCGGCAGGTACTTCGTCGTCAAGAAGGAACAGGGAGGAGTGTACCATAATCTGGAGATCACTGAGGTGCAGGTCTACACACGCGACCCATGAAGTGAAGGCTCATACAGGCACAATCTCTGAAAGAAAAGCCTCTCGAAGAGGATACATGCTGAGTTTAATTAGAGGAGGATGGAGCCGAAGAAGGGTGAATGTCATCCTATAAAGAATGATGTAAACTTACATAATTCAATAGGCAATCGCTTTCTCTTATAGAATTATATTCGTCAAACGGGGCAGCTTTATAGATTGAATTCTGTCCTAGGACACTGGATACGCAAACCCATCTGGTTTGTTAGCTTTTTCGAAGTAACTAGCTCTCCCTATAAACCTGCTATACACCAAATTAAATTTGCCTGATAAGCATAATTGCAGTAGAATTCAACTCTCTGATCAGAGTCTGATTAACTAGCTTCATTAAGCTTCATTAGATGCAATCGTGAAAATAATTTATGAAGTGTCGTGTAAAAAATAATTGATGTTATATCGCAGTTTACGAGTTCTCCGGCACCAGAATCAGTAGAGCACACACAGGAGAGACGGTTGGACTAAAAAATCGTATCGTGGATTATATTTAGGAAATAAATTGATGAAATAAAGAAATAAATTATTGCCTTGCAGCACCTGATGGTTAAGGAATAAATATTATTTAAACTCTTTAGCATCTGAACTGAAATAAAATCATTATGGTTTAAGTGGACCAGCAACGTCTCTACCCAGTAATCAGCTCCTGAGGTCACTTAACACGAGCTCAAACAAAGACAGCCACTATAATATGGAACAGTTTACTCAGTTTCCAAGTCTCAGAGATTGGTTGAGTTTTGCTGCCGAACTCGTTAAGGTTAAGCTATGCAGGGCTGCACGCGATAGCAATATACCGGCTCATACGTGGTCTCGAGTGTCAGAGGCTTTTAGTGGGCTTTCAGGTCAAATCAATGAGAATGTTCTAGAATTAATGCATAAGTTCAGTGTGGTATAATGGACGCATAAAACGTATCGCTATTAACTTAACTTCACTTCTTCTACGATGGTTGTCAGTCTTGAATTGTTAGCGCAGGGGAGCACACGGACACATGATTTGTTGTCAGCACTCATGGTGTGAAGTAGTTTGTAAGTTTCGTGTTTCTGTCGCTTGAGTAGCTTTCTACACGAATTCGTTATTTCAGCATAATTGAAACCAGTCTTATGTAAAACTGAGCAAAAACTCGGCTCAGGATCCATAGAGGTTGGTCGCAGTGAAGAGAGACTGAACTGTAAAGCGAGTCGTCTCCCAGAGATCGAGTATATAAAAAGTACGTGACTTCATCAGATCATCTCATATCTTCAATTTGTGACAGTTTACGTGGGTGGTTGGTTAACTTTGCACAGTTTTTTGTCGCCGACTTAGTTACAGTTTCATTATGCCTGCATATAACGTGCATTTGGACTGGAAGCTCTGCATTATCTACTTATAATAAATTTCAGTGCAATATCGTACACTGTTTTTAAATGTATTCAAATGAACCTGTATTTTTTATTGGTTTAAATGGAAACGATTTTGCAAGGTTTTGAGATTTTTATATCCGGTTCATTGCGGGCGGCGAATTACCATCCTTCGGTCTTTTTCAAAATCGTATGGGCATATATTCTGTTTCTTTCATTAACTTTAGTAAAATTGTTCGTTTAAACCACCTTTGATGCCGTCAGCTGAGATACAAAGGACCAAAATTTCAGCTGAGATATAAAGGAAAAGGAGAAAAATTTAGTATAGAGGTTCGAAGACGTGCAACAAGGATATTCATGGCTTGAAGGGGAAGTCTTGCGAAGAAAGATTAAAGATTATGAAGCTTCCAAGCCTCTTTTATCGATGTCTGCGTGGTGATCGCATTGAAGTATAGAAGTATACTCAGGGTTTATACTAATACAAGGTCCCAAGAGGATTACTAGAATTTAAAATAAGAACCAACATCAGGGACCACGGCAATAAACTAAAAAACTGTGTTGCAACTCATCCAAGCAACAACACTTCTCGCTTCCAGTCACCGGCATGTTTAATGGAACAGCCTTCCTGAATTAGTGATTACATCATTGACGGTACGGGTATGAACGTGTTCATGAACAGGCTAGATAAAGCTATGGAGAAATATATCATATGTTCAGACTTGAAATATTCAGCACCATATCGAACCAGGTGGAAGTCTAGTAGCTATTTCAAACTAGCGTCAGTTTTGAAAAGATCAGGTCAAAGGACCTGCTTTTAGATCTCCTATGAACAAGTCACGAAAAGTACAAGAATCGGCGACAAGCCACATCATGCCCATTCTTCAGCGCCAACACCACTATGATATGGTGATAATATATAATATAGTAATAACGTTGCTTCCAGTTTTTGCATAATTTTTCAGCTATTTAAGTTATCTTTCAATTCCATTTTCTTTTTATATTTATTCTGATTAATAAGGTTCCCATTCAACAAACCTCTCAATCTGGATTCGGTTATCAAATTAAGTTACTCATGACGTTTACAAGAATCGTTGAGGGTATTGGAAATAATCATTTAAACATATGGAATACCTCTGGGCATCACCGAAAAATATTAACTAACGAACCAAAGTAGCCTTTCGGTGTTGGGCATTTCAGGTCAGTCTCGGTCATAAGTTAGGTTAGTCGTTGCTCTGACAGGTCACGCAACCCTCCATTCAATCAGCATTTTCTAAAGGAATGTATTAAAATCCTTACAAATGAGGACAACATGTTCGTAAGATAGATATATGAAACGTTCCCATGGATACTAAGAAGTTTCTTTTCGGATGAGTTTTCGATTTTCTTGTTTATTATTATCAGGTCTTTGAATACTCGGAATATCGCCGTAACGTATGAACAATAATATTCGATGATATTGTGCCAAATTTTCATGCTCCTAGCTTACTGGCCTTAAGTAAAAAAAGTATGATGCAACGGCGCATTAGCATACTCACTATACAATATTTTAACTTAAATGAATGTAGGCTAAACCAGACATCTTGAAATTTTGACCAAGATTGAAAACTCGAAGCGCTCTGTCCAGAAAAAGAGTTTACTGAACAAAGCGTGAGCTTCCAAATTCATCCACAATCTTCACTTCCGGAATGGAAAAAATAATTTGAGATAGATGTAAGACAAAAAATACATATAGCTAACTTGCTCGGGCTAACTATTTAAATGCTCTTTCATTCGTTGTCACTCGTTTTGGGCTGATCTGTGTTGTTAATTCCTTACATGCTCATGAAATTCTTGCGGCGCCTTCATCAGTTCTCGAACCAAGTTCTTTTAGCTTTAGATCAAGAAGTATAGAATTGATGGATGGCGAATAATGGGTGATATTTCACTAGGAATATTTTGGATAAATATCTGAATTACCGCTGGCCTTAAATTCTTTTGAGATTAGTTGGAAGATACAAATATTTTTATGATTAATTCAGTGCAATTAATCAATTTCTCAAATTATGTTCGCAGACTGCTCCGTGATTTACAGATCGTTTTGCTAGCTTTATAATACATTGCGCCGTTTACACACACAAGATCGTCATGCTATTAAGCTGGACATTGGCGCTCTTTCTGGCGCTGATCCAGGCGTGGCAGGTGCCCGGGCACTGGCTGTGCGATGGCATGGCCTGCCCCAGCAACTACTCCGTCTACGCGCAGCAGCGCTCCGGCCTGGACATCTACGCCTCGGGCAACTGCTTCACGCACATCAAGCGCCAGTCCGGCGTAAAAAGATCGGCATGCATGAACATGTGCATGCGGGTGGGATGTGTGCACGCCATCACAGGGAACGGTTAGTTCATCGTTAAACGCACGTAGGAAAACCCTTTCTCTTTTCTCTAATCCCGACATTTGTATATTTAAATTAAGTCGGCAATTTCATAGCTGATTTTTCACGTGAGTCTTGTCACGATACTCAGATGGGTGCGTGTTGCTGGGTTCGGGTGTGTTGCCCCCCTACAACACGGGGCTGTACCGTCAGCTGGCAGGTGGCCAGGGCCTGCTGGTCGAGTCTGTGAAAGCGTCGTCAGTGGCCATCTCCACAGGGGCTTTCAATTGGTGGGTTACACTACTAATGCAAAAACTTGTCAAGCACGTGCTTCCCCGTTTTCGTCACTAATGGTTATGTAGAAATGTATTTGATAGGTAATTGGTGAGTGCTCTTATCTTGCAGGAACCTACCGAATACGGGTTTAGAGAGTAATCATTTTTCTTTTTTTGCGGTGGATCTCCGCGAAGAAATTTGTAAATGATTGGGGCTGACAATAATTTTGGTGTTGTAGTGCTGTATAGTGCCAAGTCTGTATATCATTACCAGATGTTGGATAACATAAGAAAACCATCAGGCATTGTACTTGGAATCCATAATACTCGTATAATAGGAATGAAAGAATAATTATAATCAGAAAAATATAGATAATGAATTAATGGGCTTGCTTGCCTGTAACCCTCACGAATAAAATACGAATTTGGCGGCAAACTTGAGATTCGAAATCAAAATATTATTACATATAAACTTATAGATTTAATTTGTATATTTTTGATTTGTTATAATAAACGTATTAGCGATATCACTGATTAATATTCTGTATACCTTAAAGTGAAAAAAACAGGTTAGTATACAGAAATTACTGAATCGGTACTTCTATCATTACTTTTGCTAATATGTTTTTCCTACTGCGCCGTTTGATCTAAAAATTAGAGGGTTTATTGTTTGCTTGCGATTTATTTAATGGTCAGTAAACAGGCTCCTGATTGGTGCAGGGAACCAGTGAACGCCAATGACGGCATCACCAACAATGTGTATCACTTCTTCCACTCCGGTGACGACATGTACCCGTACCTCTTTATTGACCTCCTGAAGCCCTACGCCGTGGTGAGCGTGTCGCTGCTGCCGCGCATCGAAAACCCAGACGGTGTGACCGCAGCAAACCGAGCACATTGAACCGAGCATTGGGACATTGAATCTGTTATCCGCAATCGTTGTTGTGTAGTTTGTAAGTTGCGTGCTTCATTCGCATGGATAACGTATTGCATGAATTTTTCATTTATTTACAACTCACAATCGTTCCAAGACTGGACTTTTGATCCAAGGATGTTAGACACATACAAAGAACAAGAGGTGATAAGCAGTGAAACGAGTCGTTTAATGAAAGCGAGCTATTAACCAGATCTCAACTTCATTAGACTATCTCACTTATTCTAAAATTAATCGAAGCTGTTCGTGTTCCTATGTATCAAGTGGATATTGAATACGATTATTTTAACGTTTAAACTTTCTTTGGGTATCAGTCAGGAACATTGACAAACGAACCAAAAGAGCCTCTGTATTGGGCATTTCAGGCTAGTCTCGATCATGAGTTTGGTTAGTCGCTGCTATGACAGGTCACGCAACCCTCCGATCGATCCGCTTTTTAGCAGATAGAAGATATCAAAGTTCAAATATATAAAAAATTAATTCGAAAGATAATTACGAGTATAAAACGGTTTCAATTTGAAGGAGTATTGAAACGTAAAAACAAACGTTATTTCAACTTAACAATACATAGATTGTTTATTAGAGCTAAACATGTGATTTGCCGATATTAACTCAACGCTTGCTTGTTCCACTGCACCAGCACAAACGTTAGCCATGCGATGCACTTTTTTTGATCAGTTCTTGGATTTATTGTACGTTTCATTTAGATTGGATCCTAACGCTGCTTGGTAATACACATTTGAAAATAAAATATTGTATTGTTCACATTTTATTCAAACAATTAATTACTTCCGACGTTATGCTGCTTACAATAGCACATCTACGTACGTAGCATCCATTTTGTTCAGTATTATAAACTCCCCTCTTGCGAGCTTGTGTTATTTCCCCCTGGGTTTATTTCATGCAGGTTCTCCTCGGTATTGTGCCCGTCCTGCTCATCATTTGCATGAAAATAACAGCCTTACAGGAGCCGTTAGCAATGCTCTCTGTCCTTGCAGCCTCACGCCTCGGATCAATGCATGGAACCCCAAATGTTTCAATTTGACGGCTGTAATAAATTACAATTACAAACGAGAAAATATTCTAGACGCGCTTGATATAGTATTTTAGAGTCGGCATTGTTTAACAACTTTACAAATTGAACATTGAAGAACTAAAACAGTGACCACTTACTGCGCTATCGAGAGCATCCAAAACAATGTTAAAAACAGTTGAACTATACTATAATATATGAAAAAGGCTATATTCCTCGATATCATCAATCTATAAAACGTAAATCAGCATCTGTCAGGGAGCATAATTTTTTCGCCGCACCCAGAAGCACTCATATATTTTTCTGACTGTTTTAAGTTAGAAATCTCAATTATATTGCATATGATTCACGGCATCGAGTAGTTCAAAGTATCGTTGCCCATCGCACCAACAAACGATATGCTTTCATCACCATCATCCGATATGCTTTCATCACCATCAAACGATATGCTTTCATCACCATCAAACGATATGCTTTCATCACCATCAAACGATATGTACCATCAAACGATTGCTGCTTTCAGTTTTCTTGATGGACAACATTTGAAAACATTACAGCAAGTACCGAGATCGTTCTAAGTCTGTCGCTGCAAAGTGTTATTGGAAGTTAAGGTTTCAACACAGCAGTTTAATCTGGTAAAATTATGATATATGTTTTGACAGTAGAGAACTATAATGAAAATAAACCAAAATCCTACCCAGCTCCTAAAAAAACAATAAAATAGTCACGATTACCATTGAATTTTTACGCTGAATTTCGAAAATTAATACTCTGAATAAAAATTAATGATGAAAATCTTATTCGTGAAATTTATTTGCGCCTGAATTTCAATTGAAAGCATATCGTTGGTGTTGATTTTACATTCCCTCCACATTCATCTCTACTAACTTCAGCTACATTTCAGCATTTTCTGAGACAATTTCAGTATCAATGCATTCTGTCTATCCCATTGTAAGTCTACTCTTGTTGTTGTGATAGAAATAGGGGAAAATTATTCACCCAGCATCAGCTAAGAGAGCACAATCCAGAGAAGCTTTTTAGTTACATACAATATATAGTCTCTAATATGCTAAGTTAATCTACCGTGAGTGACTAAATTAAAAAAAATGATATTTAGGAGTAATGTACAATTATTCAACTTCCCTGAGTAATTTTAGGCAGCCCTAAAATTCTCTTCCTCCACTTCGCAGTCTCGTGGGCGCTCCTTCATTTTCCTCGACCAAATTGGAGAAGAAATTCGTGTAAAACTTCAACGTCTTTTAATTTAGGATCAAAGACCCGTTTTGAGAAGCAACGAGTCTTCAAAAACTTTGCAAAGACTTTCGCCCTAAAATCGGTAATTTTGTTGAGAATTTCTTCTCGTTAAGTTCGCTTGATTTTGTCTCCGTCGACTGGGATCTTATCAGAACTCGAAGAATTTTGTCTCCTGTGAGAGCAAAGACTTACAACTGGAGCTCTCGAGGAGGAAATTCTCGTTATTTCTCTAATTGCATTATCCATACTCAGTTAAACTGCTTTCTCACACTCCTCGATGAAATCCATGAACTTTATTTCGGAAATGGTTAAAGTGATTTACTGAGGTAACACATGGCCCCGAGATTGGTGGCTTTTCCGTAAGTCCTATTGGTCGAGCATAGGCCTCTAGCGAGTGACGTCATGGAAACGAGCCCCTGGCTTTGGACAAGCAAATTTTGGGACGAATTCTAGCGGGTATGGAACGTAACTTGGACGTGATTGGTCGCCCTAACGCTCTTCGCAGAAGCGAGCTCTACTATTGGCTGATCCACATCTGCGTTGCTTTCAGTGGGTTCCTCTAAAACATTTTTCGACGAGAAGCTTCCCTCTAGAAGGGGACGCCCGAGGGCAAGGAACTAGGAGTTGAGAAGGGGGAGAGGGAAACGGTCGCTTGTCACAATCATAGGCGCATGAGAATCGACCCACAAACTCTCGATATCACGAGAAATTTCGCTGGAATATCACGAACATTTGCATAGAATTTCCCCAGCCTTGATGGCATAGTATATTTACTCTGCATACACCAACGCTGCTTTCGAGACGACAGCAGGCATCCGTTCTCAAGAGCTCATGTAATTTTCCCTGCGCGCGCCCGATTTAACACACAGAATAATTTTTGGCCAAAATACCCCGTTGCTACCCGCTCCTGGGCATCGCTGACAAATTTTAGCCTGAGGCTTGGGCTCGTTCTTTGGCAGATCGCATTTTTTCTCGGAATACATTGGACCGCAGGATTACTTGATGCACAATTTTGTTGAACAAACTTCGTTCACTCGACCAAATCGTGCGTCATTTGTGGCAGGATTGGAAAATTTTCATGAGGCTCGGCGGTGGCTGATGATAGGAATCCAGATTGAAGGCTCTTGGAATGACACTCTTATAATTTTATTCAATGACTCTTAAGAGTCGTTCGCTGCAAATTTTAAGAACTGAAAATAAAATTCAATTGATATTTATTATTTACAATATATCAATTCAATTGATATTGTGCTAGAAAGATGCATGTAGTTCAGTTTTGTTAGTGGAATAGATCCTGGCGATATTTAAAGCCGGCGACTATGGAGACGTTAAGGGCGTTGACTATGGAGTCTATTACCCGCAACATTTGTGGAGTCTATTGCTTCATAAAAAAATAGTAAGAATTCTTGGTTTGAACATTTTTACTCCTTTAAACAAATGATTTTTTCTGATTTGCCTTACATTAACTTTTTATTTTCCTATTCTTATCTCTCCCATTATCTCAAACTCAATATATTATTATATGCTTTGTCAGCATTGTGACCGTGCAACCCTTGCACAGTTTACGGGTATCGTATCCATAGTAAAAAAATTTAACTCAGCACTCACTGCAGTGAGTGACAGAGAGAGCATTTTCTCGTCGACGAAAACGTGAAGTCACGGACGGACAGACGAACGGACAGACGGACAGACAGACGGACATGGCGAGCACAATAGCGCCTTTTTTCCATAAATGATAAAATGCGCTAAAAAGGAGAACGCTCCATCTGCGCAGCGGGACCAGACGCTACGCAGAAGCAGCCGACGTCTCGAGTTCCGTACCACAGCTTCGCGCATGCGGGCGGCGCCACGCACACTCATGCGGCGAACTCATAATACTCTATGCTGATGTGTGCGTGAATACGCATTGAATATGTGTTCTCAGATACACAGCGTGATGTGTACTTGAATACGCTGCCTGATGATTGGCCCTTCAATACGTCCCTAATGAAGTGAGCATGATATCACTGATAAGTAAATTAATAATTCACAAATTTGTATAGTTCTTCCTAAAACGCGTACCATGATAGTTATAGTCTGAAAAAACTTTTGTTGTCCGTAACTTTGACCTAATACCGAGTTTTTATTGAATAAATTTAGAGCAATTCTTTCGGATTACATATTATATGAAGCCGAAAAATGAATCAATCGTTATACGCGTCTCGCTCCCATTTTCTTTATTAAATTTAAAAATATTTAACATAACAGTTAGCCCCATGAGGTGCATCATCCAAATTACCCATTTCTCCCCAATATCCATTTAATCACTTGCTAAAAATACCTTCGCGAAAGAATGATCGCACCCAAATCTCTAATTCAATTTAATAATTTATCGAGACGACAAATGATAAGGAATTTTCGTTGCTAAAGTTAGACAAACAAATTGATTGCACTTGAAGTTATTTAAGCCTTAGCCAATAATATTCCTAGAATATTCAGGTAAGCTTTTGATACAACTGATTTTTTTTCGTGTAATCTTTAGTTGTCAGACATGAGAGTTTAAAATATTCTGCCTAAGAAATAAGCGGGAAAATGTGAATGGGCAATAAAATTAAACCTAAAACCAATAAAACAAAAAACCTGTCTTTCTTGCCAAGAGGATGGTTGTCAATGAGATTTTGATTGCCCCACGTGTAACGCA